ACATTAGAATAGTGCGTTTGCTTTTGAAGTCCATGTCCCTCTTCCTTCCTTTCTCTGTTTGCACTTCACTGGGCAGTAGTTTAATACAGAGGACTGTCAGGGCTCGACTTAGCTTATCAGCTTACTAACAATAGTAATTTGTTAAACATCTATTTGAGCACTTTATTGCTTACTATCTGTCAAGCAGACTTGGGGTAAAGTACCTGACATTTGTTATCCAGCCTTTCTGCAGCCCTTGAGGTTGAGATTATTGTCCTTATTCTACAGATAAAGAAAATGAAACCCAGAGAGATTGACCTCCAGCTGATAGCCAGTGTATTTTTGGGCGAATTAGCAAACTCTCTTTCTGTATTTATGTGCATCTTCTTCCCAGGCCCTTCAAAGATGTGTGTGGGGTGTGTGCATGCACACGGAACGCAGTGGTATATTTTAAATGGCTGAAGTTGTAAGAAGCTCTTTTAACAAGTGGGAGGATGAGGCAAGCCGGAGCCTTAAATGTTTGGGGAGAGAGTGCAAAGATAGAGAAGGAACAGAGCCTAATGTGAGTGAAGAGCAAGAGGGATTCATTTGGAGTTGACGCTAGAAGGAGTATCAGGTGCACAAGAACAATCTGGTGAGTTTCTTAAAAATACAGATTCTTGGTCTCCGTGTCCTGAGACGATTCTGTGGTGGGAGGTGGGAGGTGGGATTTGTACTTTTGTAAAGTTTCGGAGATGATTCAGATGAACAGCTAGGCTTTGAAACTTGTATGTTTAACCCAAATTAAAGCTCTAACCAAGGGAATTTCAGAAAATTTTGGATGTAGAAATTAGGAGGAATCAAGAAATAGGCTTAAAGCGTTAGGAAGAGTATTATCAACCTGAATTTCCAATCTCAACAGACACCCAGCCAGAAAGAAGCATGGAATATTGTACAGCCCTAGAGGAAGAAATAAGGAGTGGGGTAGGGGGCTGAGAGTCCACACTTTTATTTTAAAAAAAGGAACTGAACTGTAACTGTACACTCTGTTAGTCATTTGTATACTTGCTTTAGATTTGTTCATAAGTTACTGAATGGGTGTCTACCGTTCACCTACTTTGTAGGGAAAAGGTGGCAGAGAGAAGTGAGGAACAGTATAATGTTATAAAGAACTCTATTTAATAAATGCCTTGATGACTTAAGCAAGAGAGACCACTGGTAAATTTCGGGCACCTTCTGTTTCTCCCCGTGGGGAATTTCTCTGTGGCAGTTCACCCTAGTTCCACAAACATTTTCTGTGTCTGGTGCTATGCTAGCCATTAGGTATTCAGACACAAATAAGAGACAGTCCTGGGACTGGGACATGTTACAGCCTTGGTGGGAGAGATGGACCCTTGAACAGACACTTCCATTATAATGTGGGAACACTTGAAAAATGTTGGATGGGGCAGAATTTAAACATATTTAGGCCGTGGGACGTCCCTGGTGGTCCAGTGGTTAGGACTCCTCGCTTCCACTCAGGGTGGAGGCTCGATCCCTGGTTGGGGAACTAAGAACTAAGATTCCTCATGCTGCACGGCACAGCCAAAAAATATATATGTGTGTGTGTGTGTGTGTGTGTGTGTGTGTGTGTGTGTGTATGTATATATATATATTCAGGCCATAAAATTGGTAGACGTTGTGATTCACTGAATGTTAGGGGTCAGGAAGTCATAGGATGGATCAGAGGTTTCTAGCGTGGGTGACTGGATGAGGATGGAGTACCATTAACTCAGGCCAGAAATACAGCAGTAGGAACATATTTGTGAGAGGTCAGGGGAAATCCGTTTCGTTCTCAGTATGCTTAACATGCCCCTTGAGATGTCCAAGTAGAGCAGAATAGAGCGGCGGGAATCAGACCTATGATGTAGGGTTAAGACTGGGCTGTGCCACTCACCAGCTGACGCTATAGCACATTTCCCTAACCTACCTCTCAGTTTCCATGGGGATAGTAATAGTACTTACCGCACGGGGGTTGTGACATTAAAAAAAGTCACGTCTGTTCATTTAAACACTTATTGTAGTGCTGAGCATATGCTAAGACCTCAGTACTACGTCAGGAACTCTTGTTGTTGTGTGTGCAGCAGACAGTGTGAACTCAGGAGAGATCAGAGCTGGACATTCGGTTTCGGGAGTCGTTAACATACAGACTACGACAGTGACGGTGGTTGAGATTGCCTATAGAGAATGGCGCCCTGAAGAGTAGTAGTAGCAAGTAGGGGGTGGGCAAGAGAGGGTCAAGATCCAGATGAAGAGGGTGTGATTGTCTTGCATGTAGAGAATCGTGTGTACACGGTTTTGTGCCTTGTAGAGAAATTATTATTTAAGCCTTGTGATTGGAGGACAACAAGAAATATTTACGATCTTTTTAAAATCCACAGATTTAAACCCTTCATGTGGACTTTTTTGTAAAAAACAAACTTACTGTTGAATTCAATGGTAATAAAATCAGCCCGCCACCCCCCGCCGGCCCGCCTTTGTAAACTACTTGTCAGTACACTTTTGTCTCTTCTCTGGGGGTATCCGAAGTGCTGCAGAGTGATGTTGGCACACATTGTTTGCTTGAGTAGAGTTGATACCTTATAACATTTATTTCCGTATATATTCATCAGTTTTCTTTTCTCTAGAGCCATTAACACCTTGTTTTAATTGCTGCAGGAAATAAGACAGGTGAGATATATATTTCTGGGGTCGCTGTTGGTTGGCTGGACTTTCCCTGCAGCCGAACCTCATACAGTTAACGAGTCAACAGTAGTTGATCCCATTGTTTTAACAGTGTTTAAGTTTTGATGAGAAGTATGCGGTATAATAAAGTTAGATTTTTATTTAAGGAAGAAATGGTCCTGAGCAATGAAATAGATGTTGATTTCCAGTCTTCATTCAGGTTTATAAGAAGGACGTTTTCCTGTTGTCTTAAAGGACAGTGTGTGACAATCTGACAGTTTTTGTCTCTCAAATCAGCTATTGGACTGGAGCTAGAATACATTAAGTTAGATCATGTCTCTAAGTTTCCAGAGGAAGGTGTTAAAACTCAATTCATTGCCGTACCCATGCAGATAAAGTTTTGTATCAAAACCAGATATTTTAATTTTACATTTAAATTTTAACTTATTTGAATGGGTACTGTTATAAGTAAAAAAAAAACTATGGCATTGAATATCTTGGAGGAGGAGCTGATTAGCCTTTTATTTTTTTATTTTTCTTTCTTTTAAATTTATTTATTATTTATTTTTAGCTGCATTGGGCCTTCATTGCTGCGTGTAGGCTTTCTCTAGTTGCGGTGAGCGGGGGCTACTCTGCATTGCGGTGCGCTGGCTTCTCATTGCGGTGGCTTCTCTTGTTGCGGAGCACGGGATCTAGGTGCGCAGGCTTCAGTAGTTGTGGCACACGGGCTCAGTAGTTGTGGCTCGCGGGCTCTAGAGCGCAAGCTCGGTAGTTGTGGTGCACGGGCTCAGTTGCTCTGCAGCATGTGGGATCTTCCCGGACCAGGGATCGAACCCGTGTCCCCTGCCTTGGCAAGTGGATTCTTTAACCACTGTGCCACCAGGGCAGTCCCTGATTAGCCTTTTAAATGATAGTTATTGATTATTTTGGAAATCATAATTTCATAATGGGGGCATTTTTTTCTTCAGTTTTAGTAAGAGAAAAGAAAATATATATGAGGTAAAGGCATAGAATTAATGAGATAATGGTTAGCTATGTGGTTTTGAAAACACACAATTTAAAGAACTGTCTACAACCTGCTGCTATAGCTGTGGATTAATGTTTTTAAGTTGGTAATGGTTATTTTACTCCCCCCCCCATAAGAATGAATAGTAATAAATACTGTCGTTTCAAAACAGTGGCCTCCTGCACATTCTTGGCCAACTCTAACCCCTCTCTCCAGTGGCACCCGTGTGTGTGTGTCTGTCTGTCTGTCAATGTACTATCAATAAAGATGTACTATGTACTTCACTGCCTCAGCTGTAGAGGGCGAGGGAGCAACATGCAACATAATCTATGCAAGGGAGTCCAGAGCCAGGAAGAAATACAAAGCTGACATTAGTAATTAATTAATTAACTGAGAAGCCTTCCTGTTAAGAGACAGGACATCAGTGGGCCCTGAAGAATGCCTCTCACTTAGCTGAGCAGGAGAGACTGTTGGCAGGGAGGACTGGGTGAGTAAAAGCACAGAGCTGGACACAGAACAGTATCCTGGGTGCAGAGGTGAGCAGAGTAAGTTGTAGGTTGCAACCTATTAACTGTTTCCTGACTGATTTTTTTCTGGTATTTTAGTTTCCTAACTCTAGATAATAACCTTATTTATTTCTTGACTTGCCAGCTTTAAGTAAAAGATACTGATTCTTGGATACAAAAAACGTTTATGCTTATTTATACCATATCCTTGCTGTTCCCTTCCATATTTCTTTTTTTAATAAATTCATTTATTTATTTTATTTTTGGCTGTGTTGGGCCTTCGTTGCTGCACGCGGGCTTTCTCTAGTTGTGGTGAGGGGGGGCTACTCTTCGTTGTGGTGCTCGGGCTTCTCATTACGGTGGCTTCTCTTGTTGCAGAGCACGGGCTCTACGCGTGCGGGCTCAGTAGTTGTGGCTTGAGGGCTCTAGAGCACAGGCTCAGTAGTTGTAGCGCACGAGCTTAGTTGCTCCGCGGCATGTGGGATCTTCCCAGACCAGAGCTTGAACCTGTGTCCCCTGCATTGGCAGGCGGATTCTTAACCACTGCGCCACCAGGGAAGCCCATTCCCTTCCATATTTATGTTACCTTTTTTACAGAGTTCTTCTCTATTGGTTATATTTGTCACTGTAAATATTAGTAATACTTATATTGTTGGTGGTTTATATGTTCCCCAAGATATGTGCAATTTAACTTTCAATCTTAAATAAACTTATGTTTTTGAACAGAAGGAGAAAACATTTTGAAAATGTACATTTAAATGCTGGGATAACAGGAAAAGAATTTATATGACTTTTGAAATGAGAAATAACACCTTTCTCTTTTTCAGGTTGAGCAAGTGAAATTGCTCGACCGATTCAGTACGAGCAACAAGTCGTTAACAGGAACCCTGTATCTCACGGCCACACATCTGCTGTTTATAGACTCTCATCAGAAAGAAACCTGGGTAAGGAAGACCTCTGCTGTGCTGTTTACTGTAATTATATTATTGGACATGGTCTAGCTCATGTTTTATTTTGAATATGCACAAAAAATTGTAATCGTTGGCTATCTGTCTCAACCAAAAAATTTTCAAAGTCACGTGTTCACACCTACCCTCCTATTTTAGTAAGACAGTGATGTCATTGTGGAGTGGCATTCTTTCTTGGTGATGAATTTTAAGCAAAGGCCAGAAATAACACTAGAAGTTCCTGGGTGAAGAGGTAGGATTACCGCAGTGCTGTGTAAAGGAGCTTGGTGCATTGGAAGAGGCAAAAGAAGGCTGTTGTCACCAGAACTTAGGGATGTGGCAAGGGACCTGAAATGAGGCTAGGGAGGCAGGAAATAACATGACTAGGTGGCTTTTTTATTGTTTATTTATTTACTTTTATTTTATTTTTTTGAACATCTTTATTGGAGTATAATCGCTTTACAGTGGTGTGTTAGTTTCTGCTGTATAACAAAGTGAATCAGCTATATGTATACATATATCCCCATATCTCCCCCCTCTTGCGTCTCCCTCCCATCCTCCCTATCCCACCCCTAGGTGGCTTTTTTTTATTGCTTTTTATTTTATTTTTATAAATAAAATTTTAGAAAAGCAATTAAAAAAGAGCCATCTAGTCATGTTATTTCCCACTTCCCTAGCCTCGAGTATTATTGATTTACTATGTTGTATTTCTGCTGTACAGCAAAGTGACTCAGTTACACACATATATATTCTTTTTCATATTCTTTTCCATTATGGTTTATCAAAGGATATTGAATATAGTTCACTGTGCCATGCAGTAGGACCTTGTTGTTTATCCATCCTGTATATAATAGTTTGCATCTGCTAACCCCAAACTCCCACTCCTTCCCTCCCCTTCCTCCTCCCCCTCCCCCTTGGCAACCACAGGTCTGTTCTCTATGTCTGTGAGTCTGTTTCTGTTTTGTAGAAATGTTGATTTGTATCATATTTTAGATTCTACATATAAGTGATATGTGATATATTTGTCTTTCTCTTTGTGACTTACTTCACTTAGTATGATAATCTCTAGGTCTGTCCATGTTGCTGCAAATGGCATTACTTCATTCTTTTTATGGCTGGGTAATATTCCACTGTATATATGTACCACATCTTCTTTGTCCACTCATCTGTCAGTGGGCATTTAGGTTGCTTCCATGACCTGGCTATTGTAAATAGCGCTGCGGTGAACATTGGGGTGTGTGTTACCTTTTTGAATTAGTGGTTTCATCTTTTCTGGGCATATGCCTAAGAGTGGGATTGCTGGATCATATGATAACTATTTAATTGTTTTTTAATGGTCACTCCTCTGCCTTGTAGAAAATGGCTTAGAGAGGGTCAAGAGTAGGTGTGGAGAGAGCATTCGGGAGGCTCTTTACAGTAATTCAGGTGGGAAACAGTGGGGACATTGCAACTAGGGCCGTGACAGTGGAGATGGAGAGAAGGAGATGGTGCAGAGGTATTTAGGAGATGCCGTTCTTGGGGTCTGATGGTGTGTGGAACATGTGCAGCGATGGGGAAGTATCAGGGTGTGTTTCCAGCTTGGGCATTTGGTCATTTAAAAGTTTAAGTTTGAGTGTGTAGCGTATAACCTCTGAGACTTTATTTGAAGAGGGCGTTTCTAACATTTACGCACTCTGGGAAGTGAGTAAGATACTTAGTGCTTGTTTATAATGACGGTCAAGCGTTTTCTCATGCTGTAGATACTGCACCACCATATTGCCTTGGTGGAGAAACTAGCTCTCACGACTTCTGGATGCCCTCTCGTGATCCAGTGCAAGAACTTCCGGACTGTGCATTTCATTGTTCCCAGAGAAAGAGACTGCCACGATATTTACAACTCTTTGCTACAGCTGTCAAAACAAGGTACTGTTCTTCAGGGCCAAAGCTTACTTGATCAAATGAGGTGGATTATCTAAGATACTTTTAAAATATCTCATTATTGTTATTTTGTACTTTAAGTACTCTTAAGTCAAGGTCTTGTGCACTCTGTTCCAAAAAGTTTGGCCTAGAAATAATGAGAAACTTCTGATCTGAATTGTAAGAAGAAGGGGTAATAAGGAGGAAAGAAGGGATAATAAGAAGGAAAGAGCGAAACATTTATAGTAGTACAGACTTGAAAAACCATAGATTTACGTGGATGTCTTTAAAGTTGATAAAACCAGTGGCACAGCTTTTTTTTTTTTTTTTTTAAATGGTATCCCACAACTGAGAGCAATGACTTGGAAATTGATTCCTGAACGAGAAGTTAAGGACGGTCAGGCTCCTCTGGTAGCAGTGGGACTAGTACATTTAATCTGAGGGAGTGGAGCCTGAGGGGGTGAGCAGAGGGAAGAGAGGGTGACCCCTGCTATAGCAGAGGTGGCAGTGAGGGCGACATGGCCCTAGAGAGGAGTTGCATCACTGCTTACGCCCCTGAGATCTTACGCCCCTACGCCGACGTGCTGGACTCCACAGCTCTCTCTGGAGGCAAAGCGCACCGGTTCCTGAATGTTCCTTTGTGCTGAACACCTGGGTCGCAGTGGTCTGGGAGCAGGTCCACGCACACTCTGCTCTCCTAACCCTGGAAGCCTGTGCTGTTGGTCCCACTGTCCCCAGGGCAGCCCTTACAGCGGGGATGGTTCTGTGACTTTGGAGCTTGGCCTTGTTCAGAAGCGGGTGCTCTCTGGAGCTCTGAGCAGCCTTTGACGATTTTGGTCCACGCTGTCCTGTTGGGGTGTATGCGATCTCAGGTTCTGTGTGCCACCTCTAGCTTTCCATTAAAGCGCTGGGCTTCCACTTCACATCTCATTTGGGAAAAGTGGTGGGTGGGAAGGGTCTACTTGTATCTTTAAATTTTTACTTTTAAGAAAAGGAATATTGCAGTAGAGTATTTAATGTATGAGTCTGTACTGTTTGCTAGCTTTTGCCGATGGTGTAACTTGAATCTCAGATCAGTATGTGTGCCTTTAGGTATAGTCATCTGCGTCAAAGAACTGAGAAAATATTAAGTTCAAGTGCGTTCAGGTGTTAGCTGTCTCTTTGAAGATTTTTTTTAAATGGAGGGCTAAAACTGAAAATTTTCTTTCATTTGTAGTGTGTTAAGTCCTATAAATTGCATTTTGACATTCATGTGTTTTGTATACCACAGCAAAATATGAAGATCTCTATGCATTCTCTTATAATCCCAAACAAAACGATTCAGAAAGGCTGCGAGGTTGGCAGCTCGTCGACCTCGCTGAAGAGTATAAGAGGATGGGCGTGCCGAATTCCAACTGGCAGCTGTCCGACGCCAACCGCGACTACAAGGTAAGGGGCTCAGAAAACGTTGTCACCTGTTGGAGGGGCTCAGAAAACATACTGGAGGGGAGGGTCAGAGACCGTCATAGCAGTGACTTGTCTATGTACTGCCAAGTACTGTTCTTGCATTTAATAAGTTTTAGTGGTTTTTAAAGGTGATTTTTAACCTCTTGGTTTTTGAACTATGAGTAGAATGGTTATATTTTATTTGATTTTTTACAGATTTGTGAAACTTATCCCAGAGAACTTTATGTTCCCCGAATAGCAAGCAAACCAATCATTGTTGGTAGTTCCAAGTTCCGGAGCAAGGGAAGGTTCCCAGTTCTTTCCTACTATCATCAAAATAAGGAGGTAGGAAGCTGTCTTTTGATTTTACAAATGGAGTGTAACCCCTCTTCAGATTGTGTCCAAAAGAACACTCATTTTTACATTTAGAGGTCATTGTTACAGTGTTGCCGGTAGAGAAATGCTGGCTTTTCCCTTGATTACATTTTTGAAATTTTAAAACAAAATTATCTGAAACACAGAAACTTTCATACTTGTCATCTTCCTCCCCTCCCTCTCATCCTTTCCTTCCTTCCTTCTAGTAGTGACTTGAAAATAACAGGATTTGTGAACAGATAGATTCTCCTTCCTTTCCTGTGCTTCTCTTTTGATCCTGCTTGTTTTGGGGGAAACCAGATAGTTCTGAAAAGCCAACTATTGAGAAAAGGGAGAGAGAGCCAAGGGTGTTTCAGGCTCCCATTTTAATAGTCAGCTCTTCAGATCAGAAGGATTTTTGCTGTATGAATAGGTGGAGGAGTCTTTTCACTGAGATTCTGTAATCGGGCTTGCCCGTCCCAGTACAATTTGCCTTTGTGGTCTCCACAGAAGGCCAGGAGGTACTGCATATTTAGTGCCTTATACGCATGGGATCCTCATATAACTTTATAAAGTAGTCTCTGGGTATTATTCCCTGTACCTTTCAAATGGGGAAGCTGTGGTTCAGAGAGGGCGAATCATTTTCCTGTCCTCACAGCTGGTACCTTGAGGGATGGATGCCAGTTCTGACTCCCAGTCTTTTGTGGCCTGATTTTTTTCCTTGAGAAGGTTTTAGAATTTTCTTTTCCCCCAGTGTCCTGAAATTTCACAATGATTTCAGGCTTTGGCATGTTGTTTTAAATTCTATGTGGAAACTCAGGACTCAGTTTTGGGAAATTGCCCCTCTATTTCTTTGGTAACTTCCTCTCTTGTGTTAATTTTCTTTGTACTTTTGTGTGTGTATGTGGACAGGTGGGCTTCCTAGCATAAACTTTCTATGCTAGGAAGCTAATACCCTCTAAATTCTCTCCTCTTTATCTCATTCTAGAAGATTCCCTCAACCTTATCTCCAGTCCATCTCCCGGCTCCTTTATTTTTGCTATAGGATTTTTTGTTGTTTTTTGATTTTGTTTTGCTTTCTGTTTTCGTTTTTTTGGCTGTGCTGTGAGGCATGTGGGATCTTAGTTCCCTGACTTTTAAATAGATTGCATGCACATTTGATTTTAACTGTGGGTTTTTTTCCTTTAAGCATGTCTCTGAGGTGTGTTTTAGACATCTTTGGATAATCTATTTCCTCTCTTTTTAAAACTAGGCTGCCATTTGTCGATGTAGTCAGCCACTGTCAGGATTCAGTGCCCGGTGCCTGGAGGATGAACACTTGCTTCAGGCCATCAGCAAAGCCAACCCAGCTAACCGCTACATGTATGTCATGGACACCAGGCCCAGAGTATGTGTCTTAAGTCTAGTATGGTCTGGCAGTTAACTTGTCTCTGCTAATTCAGTTAGTGGGAACTGATCACTTCGTCCATATTTAACATATCTGAATCCTAGTTGTAAATTAACCGAGGCTAATGATACTAAGGAAATCAATCTTTTAAAGGATACCAACTTAGGGTACCAATTTCCCAAGAACCCAGGTGGTGATTTCTTACGTCTTCTGATATATATACAAATTTAGGAAACCTGAATTTTATATTGGGACCTCTAGGTGATATGTAAGCCTAATGTTATTGTGAAGAAATACTGAAAAGTATGTGTTGTGAAAATTAGAAATTCTTATTACTTTTTTTGGTGGAATTTTTAATTGGCAAAACGCTGTTAAAATAATGGACTGTAATTTGGAATATTCAGGAAAATAAGGAAAATAGATAGTGAGCTAACTTAGGAAATATTGAACTAGGGAATTATAAATAGTGAACAGTAAATAGTTGTTCTGTTAGGTATCTATAATGTCAGGATAAATTTTTATCATTGGAACAAATGTTAGAATCCCTTTTTCTTTTTGTAAACACAGTTAAACAACCAATTCATGTAAGATACTGAAACTAAAGTAATTAAAATCCTCAATGGTAATAGCTAACATTGCTTTTAATTTTTATTATAGCATCGCATGCAGAGCTGGTGGGCTACACAAAAGGACATTGGCAGAATTATAGTGAGAATTTCTTCAAAAATCTGGAATGATGAGAAAATAAGAGAAAGCGATGGGAAAAAGCGAGTGAGCGATATAGAACACAATTTTAGGCAGCTTTGTTGAAAGGAATGGTAGTTGTTTTAGAAGTAATTCTCATCATTATGCAATTTCACAAAAGATAATGGAGAAAACAGAAGATAAGATTAATTTGCATAAATTAACAAGTATTAAAAATTGATAATTTGATATTGTTTTGTTTTAAAAAAAGACTTTCTTAGAATTCAAGGGTGTTGGTGATACCTCTTGTAAGAAAAATTTTAGTTTACTTCCTTGTATAATCTGGGTGGGTTAATTGCTTAGAACTATTTTTAGGTAATACTAGATATAAAAAGATGATTGTAACGTAAGACTTTCTGAACATGAGGTCTGAGGGTGATTTGTTTCTCAGGCCCTCATATCTCTTACTTATATAATTGACTCCTACACAGAAAATAGATCTTTCTTGGATTGGTTCGTTTTACTAGTTAAACTCAAGTGGTAATAATGTGGAAGCATTTAAACACCTAACTCTTGCCTTAGCCATCACAGGTGCTGAATGACCAGTGGGTCAGTAGACACAATTTAACTATACTTCTTACCAACCTGGGCCCCAATCCACTGCATGAAAAGCAACTTTTTCTTCCAACTTAGGTTCTGTTTCATCCAAGTTTGTAAGACTATTTAGCAAATTATCATGACGTACCATATGAAATCCTAGTCTGAAAGAATTAAACATGCCAAATCTTAACCTCTGATAGCATTTGATCTAATAGCCAAAGACCGTGGGCCTATAGGCAGTCTTCTCTCCCTAGAAACTGGGCTATTTTTGACCCAGTTCTTGGAGATGTATCAGGCTAGCTCATCATATGCTGTGTCGTGTAGGGTGTGGTCTTCCAGTAACCCTGAATATGGAGGACCTGGACCAATCTAGTGCATGTTTCAGATGTGATTTTTCAGGGTCCCTGTGGCTTTCTGAATGATTAAGTGCTCCAGGCTTGTTCTGAAGTGAATCTTCTAAGTTCATTCTGTAAAAACTCCCCAGCTCTGCTCAACACTGAATCATACAGGGTTTGGACAGGAGACGTTTCTTTCTTTTTTTAAATCTTAAAATATTACAAACATATGGAAGACTGACTAAATACATATGTGAATTAGTTTCATGAATTATATGTGGGGAACTTCTTATCTGATTCTTATATAGCAATCATTTTGTTACTTTATAGGATCCTTCTGTACTATGAATAATATATATGACACTTTTCACTTATTAAAAAATGGTAGTATATTCAGTTTTGATGCGTTCCTTTAAACTCTGCTAGCTAAATTGTGGTTTATTTAGTGTTTTCATGATATTTTGGTAAACTAAAAGATAAAAGCAATTTGTCTCTAAATTTCTAAAATTTAAAATTTTAGCTGAATGCAATGGCCAACAGAGCAGCTGGAAAAGGTTATGAAAATGAAGACAACTATTCTAATATTAGATTTCAGTTTGTTGGAATTGAAAATATTCATGTCATGCGGTCCAGCCTTCAGAAATTATTGGAAGGTACGATTATTGCTTACCTTCTAGGCAGCTTTGTCCCACAGAAGTGTAATGCTAGTCACATTATAAAATTTAAAATTATATAATTAAAAATTTTCTAGTAGTCACGTTCAGAAGAGTAAAAACCAGTTGAAATTAATTTTAATAATATACTTAACCTAATATATTAAAAACATGCTAACATGTAATCAGTATAAAAAATTAGTAATGATATATTTTGCTTCTTTTCCTTTAAGTCCTAGAAATTGGCTAGTGTGTCTCTTATACTTACTGTGGACTACCCACATTTCAAGTGTTTAATAGCTGTATTTCAGTAGTGGCTACTATATTTATTAGACAGTATAATTCTACTGGTTTTACAAAAGATTGCTATTGTTAGATATTCTTGATTAGTCAGTACAGTGAAGATTAATTTATGACAGTGTTCCATTTAAATATTAAGCTATCTTTCCAGTTTTGGTGTGGAACTTAAAAAACTGGAATCTCAGACTTTTTTTTTTTTTTTGCGGTATGTGGGCCTCTCACTGCTGTGGCCTCTCCCGTTGCGGAGCACAGGCTCCGGACGCACAGGCTCAGCAGCCATGACTCACGGGCCCAGCCGCTCCGCGGCATGTGGGATCTTCCCGGACCCGGGCACGAACCCATGTTCCCTGCATCAGCAGGCGGACTCTCAACCACTGGCCACCAGGGAAGCCCCTCAGACTATTTTTAGTTACACATTTGTGTTGAAAATTTTTTTAAAAAGGGTATTGGAGCAATTTTTTTTTTTTAAACACGAGGAATGACAGAAAAATGTACCTAAAACTCCATTATTGAGCTTTTAATAGCATGTGTTCATGTATAAAGAGTCTTGCCTGTTTGTTTTGTCCTCTTCTCTTCTTCCCCACCTCGCTCCCCAGGGGTCTCTTGAATAGAAGTGGGCACTCAAGCTCCTTTCTAACTGAAATGTCTTTCCCCTTGCAGTCAACGGTACCAAAGGGCTTTCCGTCAGTGATTTCTACTCGGGTCTGGAGAATGCAGGATGGCTGCGCCATATCAAAGCCGTTATGGACGCTGCAATCTTCTTAGCCAAAGTAACCCTTCTTCACTCATGTTTGATCTGGGGTTTCACTGGTTGGGAAGGAATGGATTTATTCTGTTGGGTGCTGGTATCCTTTCCTGCCAGATAACTTTTATTATGTTTTACCTCTTTAATGAGGTTCACTTTAATATGAACCTTGAAAATATCATGTAGCACTTAATATAGGAACTTCAAAAGAAATTCCCCAACACATTGAAACGGCATTTTTGTCTGTGCTTTTTGTTTGTTCGCTTTGTGTTTTGTCCAGTTCCTTGGAGATTATGCTGTGACAACATAATCATTGCAATCCTAGTTCTTCTTTATAATGCAATACCTGCTACTTTGGTTTTTGAGTAAATAGCACTTACTGATTTACCTAAAATGGATTTTGCTGGAATCGAAGTGTGTGGTCTTTCTTTTCAGGCAATAATGGTTGAAAATGCGAGTGTGTTGGTACATTGCTCTGATGGCTGGGACAGGACTTCCCAGGTCTGTTCCCTGGGCTCTCTCTTATTGGATCCCTACTACAGGACAATCAGAGGATTCATGGTAAGGACTTGTTTGGCCAGACCACTGGTCTCAAATAGGAGTGATTTTGTCCCCCTCCAGGAGTCATCTTGATTGTTACAACTAAAGGAAAGGGTGTACCTGGGATCCAGCTGGTGGAGGCCAGCTGCTAATAACCTATAATTCACAGCACAGTCCCTACAACAGAAGATTACCTGGCCCAAAATGTCAGTACTGCTGAGGTTGAGAAACTCTGAGTTAGATTAATTTCCACTTGTGCCATCTCTTTGACAAGAAGTTTTAGATTAAAAGGTTTTTTTCCCCCATAAAATGTTGCAATAGAAATATTCAGTATTTCTCCTTCATTTTTATCTAACAAATGTAAATATTGTAGTAAGACAAGACATAGATAAGAGTACTTATAAATTATATTCTAGAGGAAACTTTCTATTTAATGCACCTTCACTTGTTAGTTGTAACTACACTTTAGGGAGCATGTTTTAAACCTGAAGGTGCGATTTCTAGTTGAGCAGATTCCCTGCTTTGTGGCGCCGAAGCCCTGGCTCCTGGGTTTTGTGTGCTTTTTAATGCACGAGCATGGTCAGATTAACTCCTGTTTTCACAATTTGTCTTAACTCAGGGCAGGTAAAATAAATGAAGAGCTGGTAGGCAGTTTTTATTAGTTTAGAATTATGAAGCACAGTGCTGTCTTAAAGCAGGGGAAGGTTTAACACAGCCAGACCCCTTTCAGAACCATTGTTTTCGTGGTGCCAGCATGTTGCATCTGGGACAGGTCAAATGCAAGGGCTTCTAATAAAGTAAGGTTCCGCTTGCCTTGGGCGTGTGAGATAGGGGTGTTTCCTTGGCCCTGTTTGGCTTTCACTGTCTGCCGGGCGTCCAGATGAAAGCGTGCAGTAAGTGACCGGCAGCCGTGTGGGAGCCTCGCAGGCTAGAGGAACGGTGAGGACTAAAGCGTGGCTCCTGCAGGTGACTGCAGCCGGCGGGTGATGGGTAGGTAGGGTGCAGGCTGTGTGAGGGGTGAGGCTGGCATAGAAGAACGGGGTGAGCTAGGGCCCGAGGAGGAGGAGTCTGGCAGGCAACTGGACGTCCCCCTGCTGGGGGGTGAGAGCCAGCAACAGGCTTTTTTTTTTTTTTTTTTGCGGTACTCGGGCCTCTCACTGCTGTGGCCTCTCTCGTTGCGAAGCACAGGCTCCGGACGCGCAGGCTCAGCGGCCATGGCTCATGGGCCCAGCCGCTCCGCGGCATGTGGGATCTTTCCGGACCGGGGCACGAACCCGTGTCCCCTACATCGGCAGGCGGACTCTCAACCACTGCGCCACCAGGGAAACCCAGCAACAGGCTTTAAACGCGGGAAACGGGAACATGCTCAGAGCTCATCTTTTTAAAAAGATGGTGTCTGGAATGCAGAGCGGTGGGAATGGAGGCTAGGAGACCCGCATAGAAGCCGATAGGATGACTTAGGAGAGAAAAGAGGGCCAGAACTAAGGCAGTGCCCCGCGGATGGAGGAGTGGGCGACGGGCCCCTCCAGGGAGGGCGAGACAGCGGAGTAAGCGTTGTTCGCGGACTGGGTGTGGGTGGGGGAGAAGACGCCTCTTCTCGGATTGCTTCCAGGCTCTGCGCTCGGTTGCCAGGATGGACTGTGCTGAGAGAAGCGACGGAGTGAGTTGCGTGAGAACGGTGTTGAGTTGAGTTTCCAGATGTGGGTGTGTGGCAGGATGGCAAAGGTCCCACGGTAGAGACCGAGGCTACAGCCCAGACCACGTGCCCAAGGTTGCCGGGTGTGGAAGTGGGGAAGCTGGGATTTGAGCCCGTGCACTGTGACTCCAGAATCTTCTTTACCCACACGTGCCATGGCCTTCTGGAGAGATTTAAGACAAAGTCAGAGGAGCTAAAAGTGGCAATTTTGACATTGAAAAGAATGTACTTGGTGATTATATAATGAAATTAGAAAGTATAGTAAATACTAAGAAGATAATGTTGTTTAGATGAGACCGAAAATAATTAGAAACCTATTATTTCAGTAGAGTTGTAACAGAAAAGAGTGCACTCAGGAGGTCGCATATCAACATTTGAATTTGGATATAAACTTTTCATTGGTTTCTTTACCATCCTTTTTTTTTTTTTAAAGTATTACAGAAGTAACGTACAAGTAAGCCAAAAGGTTTAAACATCCACCCCAGTTTGCCACCCAGTAACCACTGGTAACCTTCTGATTTTCATTTTCCTAACCTTTTTTCTGTGCATATATCATCGTACATACAAAAAATGTAAATGCAATAGTGTTTTATAACATGCACTTTTCACTTAAAATGTAATAAATGCAACTGAAGTAAATTTAAGTCACAAGACCTACTGTATTTCTTTTTATGTATCATTTTCACTCCTTGTTAAGCCAGCCTCTAACCCAGGTTCTTGCTGTCTTTTGCCTGTAATTTAAAAAATTTCATTTTGTTTGCCACCATAAGTGAAAAGTGTAAATGCTGTTTTTAAGATAATAGGATTTAATCCATTCTAAACAAAAAAAGAATTGTGGTTACAAAATGGATTTTACTTTTTCTCGTTAAGGTTTTAATAGAAAAAGATTGGATCTCCTTTGGACATAAATATTCGGAGAGGTGAGTCACAGTTATACATTTAGGCACTTGGTAAAGTTAGTAGAACTAATTTAGAGTACCTGAATGTTCCTGTTCTTCATGAACTCCCATGTCTGATGGGAGGTGAGAGTGGTGTTTTTTTGTATGAAGCCCGATTTAATTCTTTTTCTGTCATTTTTTTCAAGTCTGATACTTTTGTTAATTTTCATAGCAGTTTATTACCTTCCTTTTTGTCTGCATTGTAGTAGTTAGAATGTAACAGACCTGTTAAAATTGTGGTTGAAAAACTCATAGGTGTAAATTGTTTCAATAAAAAATGACAGTTTTTTTTTTTTAAATGCCAATGTAACAATGTTTTACGATTTTTTTTGGCGGGGGGGGGGGATATGTATTTAAATTTAACAATACCCGAACAGTTGACCTCTTTCAGTGGCATTTTCAAAAGCTTGTACTTTCTGGGGGGTTAGGTGTGGCCATTTGGATGGTGACCCAAAGGAAGTTTCACCGGTGTTTACTCAGTTCTTGGAATGTGTGTGGCATTTGACTGAACAGTTTCCACAAGCCTTCGAATTCAATGAAGCGTTTCTTCTTCAGATCCATGAACATATTCATTCATGCCAATTTGGAAACTTTATTGGAAATTGTCAGAAGGAAAGAGAAGAACTCAAGTAAGACAGTTGATTGAAATAGGCTTTCTTCTTTCCTATTTAGCTGAGGTCTAACATAAATCATAGTTGAACTTAAACTATCTTGACAGTATGATATAGAACTGAGTCTTATTGTAAAGATTTTATTGTCTGTTTTTCTGAAGCTGAGTACCCCTCACACTCTCGGGTTAATAGTTAAAATTTGTTTTGAAGTGTAGCATACATACAGAAAAGTATGTACAGTGTTAAGTGTGAAGAATTCAGAGGTGAGGCTAGACTGTGAATAGAAGTAAAAACTAAAACTTAAATCTACATGGGAAATGACTGCCTGCTTTATAAAAATGAGCGTTAGCGTCTCTGGGAAAGATCTTCGTGTTTTTCTCATCACATTAGGTTAAAGGAGAAGACTTACTCCCTGTGGCCGTTTCTTTTGGATGACCAGGAGAAGTACTTCAATCCTCTCTACAGTTCCACGTCTCAGAAATTGGCAGTTTTGGAGCCAAATACAGTATCTTTCAATTTCAAGTAAGCTGGCATTATTGAAGTATTTATACTCAATTTTTCTCCAACACAATTTATTGAAGTATTTTTTTTTCTTTTTTTGTCATAAAGGTTTTGGAGAAACATGTACCACCAGTTTGATCGAACATTGCATCCTAGGCAGTCTGTGTTTAATATAATTATGAATATGAATGAGCAAAATAAGCAGTTACAGAAAGATGTTAAAGACTTAGAATCTGTAAGTATTCTGAAGTATCTGATGTAATATATTTGGAATATTAAATTAGTTTGTTTCCTTACTTGGTGCTCTCAGTGTAAATGTAGTATACGTATCAATAGAAATCTTGTAAGTACTCATGGTTGCTTCAAAATCAGGTCTCCTCTGCTTTGAACAGGTTAGTTTAAATCGCTTTCTCTGAATTTTAAAATATATTGAACTATTTGAAGTATAATATATAGAGAAATAGAGATATAGTATCAGGCTATTCACCACCTGGCTTTGTGAGGTTTTAAGATTTACGGTATTTGATTCAGACCTTTCATGTTTCTGTTTGAAGGGAAGACACATTATCGATCTATTTGCAGACCCTGTGAGCCCTACTGAGTCTTCCCCACTACACTTGCTGCGCTGAATCTGGTGTTAGTCATTCCTGTGCCTATTTTTATACTTCCTCTATATATGTTTATATCCACAAACAATTTATAATATTGTTGCATATGGTTTGAAATATTATTTTTATTATATATTGAAAAAAGAAAGTAGTTATGTATAAGATGTAGAGGGCAACAAATAACATGAATGCCCAGGTACCCTTCACTCCGCTTAAGAAACCACGTTTTAAAGCTATACAAAGGCTGTCACATTGTCATGCTTCACTTTGCTCTACATTGTTTTGAAATTTATCCACGTTGATACACGTAGCTTTAATTCATCTGTTTTATCAGTAGCTACTGTATCGTATTCTCTTGTGTGACTGTATCACAGTCCATCAATTCAGCTATGCTAGACATTTCAGTTATTTGCAGTTTTGGATTTCCATGACGAGTGAAGTTGAATTTTTCCCTTTCTGCGAATGGCCTATTCAAACCATTTTTCTGTTGGCGTATTTGCCTTTTTCTTACTGATTTATAAGAATTCTTTCTATACCACACACTAATTCTTATTTAGTTAAAGGTATCACCAATGGCTTTGTCCAGTCTCTTCTTATCTTTTCCATTTTCTTTATGGTATGTTTCATATAGTTACTGTGAATTTTAATATAGTCAAATTGCTCAGTCTTTATGTTTTATGCCTTTTTGTATATCTTGTTTAAGAAATCCTTCTCCACCCTAAGACGTTTCTTTACCATTATATGTAACAAAAAGGATCAGTAAGTCCATGTTTTAAGAAATCCTGGCCAATTGTTATAACTCAGTGAGACTATCCTGTCTGCCTCTCAGACAGGAGTGTTGCTGGTCACCTCTCAGATAAGGAGGTCATGACTGCCTGAGTGACCTGTAGGAGAGGCAAGCCCAAGATATAGATGGTACAAGAAGGTTGTCTGGAGATCAGTCCAAGGATCTAGAGAGTGTGGAACTCTGCCAAAGAATCCTTTTAAAATCTCTTAAAATCAAAAAAATTCTGTTGTATTCTATAGCCTGTCGTGCTCACCTACCAAACCATTGTAGGAAAACCACATAAGAAAGCTCTTCAGGCCGTCACACCTTCAACTAAATGAGCGTGTGTTTGTTACATTATATAGCTGTGATTTCAGGGTGACTGTCTCACATATATATTTCTCTCATTATAAAATGTTTACTTTTTATAGTTTCTAGGAAATGTATGTGCTTTTCAGATATGAAGGCCTAGTGATCTTCTGTCAAATATGTTTTCCATCGCAAAAGTTGTACACAGTTGGGATTCTCAACCATGTCTCACCTACACTAGATTTTAATTTTTTGAGATTTAATTTTGCATCGTACATAAAGAGAACATTTGCAGACGCTCGATTTTTGTGTACTTTCATCTAACATATATTGAACCTGTAGCGTGTACAGTTTGTAATTTTTTTTCAAATTTGGATTTGTTTCTAGCAAATTAAGCAACATAAAAATAAGCAGACAGATGGAGTTCTCACCAAGGAATTGTTAAATTCAGTTCGTCCTGAATCACCTGCCCTCAGAACCTCCTTGTGTCTCAAGGAGCAGACTCTAGAGCTGCCTGTGAACGATGCTCTCCGAACTGTAGAGGGCAGCAGCCCCGCAGATAACCGCTACAGCGAGTACGCGGACGAGTTTTCCAAAGCGGAGCCTGCTGTGGTCAGCTCGGAGTATGGCGTGGCCAGAATGACGTGTTAGGCTCAGAGAGACTTTTCTGGCTGCCTGCGGTGCGAGAAGTGGATTATGGTGAGGATGGTCTGTGTGCGTGACCCAAGGAATTTGCCTAGTGATGATCTTAGGGTTTACCAGTAGGTTGGTAGTTGAAGTCAGGATGCTAACTGCTCTTGTGAGAGAAGGCAGTTCAGCTGTCTTTCTAGCAAGAAATGAATGGCCTTCGGCTCTTTAAGAAGCAGGTGGTACTGGCCGGTTTACTGCACGTGCAGTTTGTACTGTACACTAGTGAGCCGACATGTCTATGAATTACATGTTAATTACAGTCAACTAGGAATAGCCTTCCATAAGTATGATTTGACTGCCAGAAAACAAAACTGACACAGTGGTCCCTTACTTAATAATTGACATGGCATGTACTTTCAATTGTGTAACTATGAATATTTGCAAAATTTGCCTATTAGTGGTGTTTATTGTTGAAGTGCCATGAAAAATATTTCTAAGGAAGCCTTAAAGTCTCAGTTTATTCATTGCACTACTCTTCAGCTTTAGAGCCTAGAGCAAGATGGTTGGTCGTGTGTTTCCCTTGGTCGGTCCTGTTGTATCTGTGAGCAGCTGCCCTGGCCCCCGCAGGAGCTGCATGCTGCAGTGCCCCTGTGGAAACAAAACGGTGGTCGAAGGACACTGCCAAGCTCATGTCTGGCTGGTCCCACTTTCGTGGTCAAAATTAACGAAACCGACGGTTTTGTTCTGCTTATAATTTGTTTAGTGCTACATTTGACGACTTATTATTTACAACTTACCTTGTTGATTTCCTGTATGTGTGTAAGCACATTTGACTGTCTTTTATGAATGGATTACTGCATCCTGTTGATTCTTGTTTCGTGGTTGGCTTTATTCCTTTGATAAGTATGGAAGTTTACGAAGCTAAAGCCCTAAACTGTTCTTAGAGACAATGAATAGTACATATATGTATATTTTTAAACTGTTTTCTCTCTCAGTGAATTGTTCTTCCTAGAAGAAACTTTCAATTTACCCAAGAATTTTGGGGTCAAAAAAAGGGAATACGGATAGTTTAGATTTTGCTTGGTTGCATGAATTTTTCTCTGTGAAACATTTTTTTCTTCTCTGTTAACATAGAAGAAAAAAGAAAAAAAGGAAAATTAAGGATAGCCTAATACAAAGTTAATGTTTAACAAAAAAACTTAAATGCTAGGAAGAGTTTCATTTTGCCACGTTATTGATAACTTTATTCTCTGTACTAGTACATATTATTAAAGCACCAAAAAAAAAAATAGAAAAGAAAGAAAGAAAATGACTTTCAGTTGACGATATCACCCAGCTGGCTTTAAAATGGACAATTTAACATGGGTGGCACAAGATATGATTGAAGGGTACTAGGAAATCTGCATAGCATCCCTTATGCTTCTTTTTATTACACCTACATCGGTTATATTAATTTTGAACATAAATAACTTTTTCAAATGGAAGAAAAGGCTTTATTGTATGAGCTTATCCTATTTATTTTTCCAATGCTTTTCTGTAATGCATTATGTAATAAGAAAAATACTTCTTTTTAAACAGTGACCGAAATGCACTATAAAATAGAGTTTGTGATTTAGCCATGTCTATTTCCATATTTAAGCACTGGGACGAGAAACTTAAGCCTTGTGACCACAAAGGGAAGCTATTGTGCCTTGTTACTTGGTTCCAGTGACTGATTGTGGTTTTAGCATCTTCCACGGCAGACTTCTTACATTCAACTCTTTGGTTTATTATCTTAATCTTCAGTTTGAGGCATATATATATGTGTGTTTATATGCTCACACCTGGGCTGAGAAACCAGCTAACATCCTAAGTGACCTACAGGGTATATGTTGGCAAAAAGTAGTTGTGTATATGTCTTATAAGATTGCATTTGTGTTCAGTGTGTTTGGGATTGTATAGCATGTACATTATTACATACATTGTTTAAAGGTAATTAAATGTTCATGTTTTACATTGAATTATTATTTTTTTTTTGAAAAAACAAATGGGATCCAGTTGTGGTAGGGTTTTTTCTCCCTCATGTAAGCAGATGGACCTGCACATGACACCGTGAGTCATCACAGTATAAGGTTTGAGCAGTTAATTTTTCAAAAGGGGATGTTGATAAATAATCATTATTATATACAGAAGTAATTACCAAAATATTAAAAGAAGCATAGTGTGCTAAAAGGTTCAGCAGATACAGTTGATAATGTCCCTACATTTTCTGTGTGATCCTGTCACTTCCTGCTGTCATATCAGTATTTTATTGTGTCCTTCTCAACTTGTTGGTAGAAGGTGGTATCCAACGAATTTGTACGTTTAAGGTGCAGTGTCTCTCCAGAGACAGGCCTGGATGTGATCAGACACAGGAAGTTGCCTGGCAGAGAGGACTGTGACTTTATTTGGGGGTGTTTTGAACAAGTTGCTTAGGCTAGAAGTAGCTTGGGGAATCATGGCTAAATAAAGATGGCTGGAAGACCTCTCTTTTTAAAAAACAATTATTTGGTGGGGTAGCAGGGCAGGGGGTAGTGTCAGGTTAACATCTTTTAAGCTTATTATTTTTGGGGCAGTTTTAGGTTCACAGCAGAATTGGAGGGGAGGTGCAGAGATTTCCTTATATACCCCTGCCCCACACACGCATAGCTTCCCCCATTATTAACATCACTCACCAGATGGTACATTTGTTAAAAGCAATGGACCTGTACTGACACATCATAATCACCCAAAGTCCATAGTTTACCTTAGGGTTCACTCGTGGTGTTGTATATTCTGTGGGTTTGGACAAATGTATAATGACCTTTACGTATCGTACAGAGTATTTTCACTGCCTTAAAAATCCTCTATGCTCCACCATCCTTCCCCTTCCCCAACCCCGTGGCAACCATCGATCTTTTTACTGTCTCCATAGTTTTACCATTTCCAGAATGTCATACAGCAGGAATCATACAGTAAGTAACCTCTCAGATTGGTTACAGATTCTCTCACTTAGTCATATACATTTAAGGTTCTTCCATGTTTTTTCGTGGCTTGGTAGCTCATTTCGTTTTAGCTCTGAATAATATTCCATTGTCCGGGTGGACCACAGTTTATTTATCCATTCACCTATCGTAGGACATTTGGGTTGCTTTCAGGTCTTAGCAGTTATGAATAAAGCTGCTATATAAACATTTGCGTCTGTGTTCAGATTTTTGTGTGGCTGAATACCAAGGAGCATGATTGCTGGCGTGGATGGTAAGAGTGTGTTCAATTTTGTAAGAAACCGCCAATCAGTCTTCCAGAGTGGCTTTACTGTTTGCATTCCCACCAGCAGTGAATGAGAATTCCTGCTGCTTCACGTCCTTACCAGTATTTGGTGTCGTCAGTGATCCGGGTTCTGGCCATTCTTACGGATGTGTAACCAGTGTTTTCTGACTTTTTTTCCTTGTGCAGAAGGTCAGCTTCAGAATACTGGACAATTTCCAGTTGGCATTCCAAGTTGGAAGAAATGCCTGCAGTCACCTGCAGTACTACACAGAGCAGTTGCAGACTATGAATGACATCGGTCCATTTTCATTACCCAGGTTTGAGATATTTTGTTGGCTGCTCTGTGTAGTTGTCCATTTGGCATTAGCATACCTCGATTAATTAAATAAAATGTAGAAGCTCTTTTTAAAAATGTCACTATACCTATATGGGGAAATAATCTGAAATAGAGTGGATATATGTGTACATATAGCTGATTCACTTTGCTGTACAGCAAAAGCTAGCAACATTGTGAATCAACTCTACTCCAATAAAATTTTTTTTAAAAGTCACTATAAGCTTTAGGAACCTGTACTAGAAAAAAGCCTGTAATTTAGAATGGTTGGTTGTCTCTAAAAGAGTATACTATAGTGCTTGCCATCTTATTAAAAAAAAACCAAACACGAATTTCTGCCATTTTTATAAACAGTATTAATGCTACTCTAGTTATCACCGAGCAAGTAAACTATCCTTTGCACAGCAACTTTTAGAAAATAGTGGGATGTGTAACTGAAAGCAGCCTTCAGGAGCTATAAGACTTAGTGTAGACTCCTAAGGCCCTAGCTTTGAGTTTCTGATTCATCAAGTGTTGGTTGGGACTCTGGGGTTAAAAAAGCATTTACATAGCGATAAAGCATTTGCATTTTAAAATATCTTGGAGATTCTGATGCAAAATGGCAGGAGAATCACACTCCAAGGCGCACTGCCTGCAACCACCTTCCCTGATCAGTAGGAGCCTCTCATTCTCAAAGGAAAAGCTGAATTCGTCTTGTACAAAGAGCAGTAGATCGGGGAGCATCTTACTTCTGAAACGGTGCTTCACGGGTGGGAGTGAGAAATAGACCTTCGTCCTGAGCCACTGAGAGTTTGGGCTCTTTGTTACTGTGGGTAACCTGGTCCATCCTGAATGATGAAACCACGGGCACACCTAAGAGGAGAACAAATCTGATTTCATCTAAAGACCAGTCCCTCACCGTCCTCAGGTGGCCTGTTACTTGTGCTTGCACTCGTGTCTGGTTACGGGTCATTGTGTTTGGCCAGAGCTCTTTCCTCTCTTTATCTCCAACAGTCGCCTCCCCTCTGCCCCTTGGCATTGACTCCTTGAGCCAGACCAGCTGTGAAGTACCACCCCGCCCTCTGTGCTTGTCTAGCTGTTTCCTCGTGGTGTAGTTTAGCTTGTTCCTCTATCTGCTATACCTCCTGTAAAGTAGGCACGAGATGAGATTCAGATTAACATTTCAGGAAAGATGCTGTGTACTTCACATTGAATCCCTCAGGAGGGTATCATGTCAGGCTGTTCACTTTTAGGATGCTGAATTTGGTCGCTTGGTTGATCTCACCGATATAAAGGTACATTTTTTCCCTTTGGACTTAGCAGGTGCTCTGCAGGGTAATGTTTTGGCATCACAATGAACATCCTATTCCCTGACAACCTATCCACTGATATTTGCCTAGATCAGTTATTTCATTGGGTGTTTCAAAATTGTGATTTTTTAATTTGTTTTTTTACCCAAATAGTTCAAAATGTGTGTGTATTTGTGTGTGAGTGTGTGAGTGTGTGTGTGTGTGTGTGTAGATATTGATGGGTAAGGCATCGATGGGTAAGGCATCGATTTTTTTTTCTTTTTCCATATATTTAAGGTCATTTTTACTTTCTCCTCTCATTTTTTTTCCCCAGCAGGTGGTAGTGGTTTTTTTCTTTATTTAAGATCTTTTTTTATATTTTAGGGAGACTGACCCTTTCCCTGTGATATAATGTGCTGATGTATTTTATCATCAGAATTTCAATTCATTCATTTATGATCAACATGGACTCGTGTCTGGTGTTAGCTCTGCCATATTTTACTGTCTTTATTGTGAGTATATTTAGTGTAACTTTGTATAATTATACTTTATAATTTTTGTCTTTATACTATGTAGTCTTATTTTTAAAGTATTTTAGAACATTTCTTTTGGTAATTATATATTTGGATTTGTATCCCAGTAGTTGCCTTTTTACTCTTTGCAAGATTGTTTTGGTTGTTTGGGATCTGTTGGAATTCCATATGAATTTTTGGATGTGCTTTTCTATTTCTGCAAAAATGCTGTGGGATTTTCGATAGGCATTGCATTGAATCAATAGATTGCTTTGGATACTGTTGACGTCTTAATATTCCGTCTTCTTGATCTGTGAACAAGGAATTTCCATTTATTTGTGTTTTGTAAAATTTCTTTCAGCAACATTTTATAGTGTTCAGAGTACAAGTCTTTGCCTCCTTGGTTAAGTTTATTCCTAAGTATTTTGTTCTTTTTGATGCTATTAGAAATGGAATTATTTTCTTAATTTCCTTTTCAGATTTTTCATTTTTAGCATATAGAGACACAGCGGATTTTTGTGTGTTGATTTTGTATCCTGCAACTTTTCTGAATTCATTTATTAGCTCTAACCATTTTTGTATGTGGAATCTTTAGGGTTTTATACATGTAAGATCATGTCATCTGTGAACAGAGATAGTTTTACTTCTTCCTTTCCACTTTGGATACCTTTTGTTTCTTTTTTCTTGCCTGATTGCTCTGGCTAGAACGTCCAGTCCTATGTTGAATAGAAGTGGTGAAAACAGGCATCCTTATATTGTTCTTGATCTTAGGAGAAAAGATTTCGATCTTTTGGTATGAGCTATGGGGTTTTCGTTTATGGCCTTTACCATATTAAGGAAATTTCCTTCTCTTCCTAATTGGTTGGGTATTTTTTTTATCATGAAAGGGTGTTGAATTTTGTCAGATGATTTTTCTGCATTAATTAAGATCGACTATGTGGGTTTTTCCTTCTTTCTGTTAATGTGGTATATTACACTGATTGATTTCTATACGTTGAACCATCTTTGCTTTCTGGGAATAAATCCCACTTGGTCATGGTCTATGATCCTTTTAATGTGCTGTTGAACTAGTTTGCTAGTATTTGTTGAGGATTGTTGTATCAGTGTCCATAAGGGATATTGGTCTGTAGTTTCTTTTCTTACCATGTCTTTGGCTTTGGCCCAGCTGTTGTTTATGGTTGACTTTTGACATGCATTGGTAAACTAGAAGAGTGACCACCATGAAAACCTGACACTTCAGCAAGGAAGAGGACAGAAAAGCATTCCTCAGACTCATAAACCGAGCCATCATCCTTCAGGTCATCTTAAATTTTTCTTTTGATGTGGTTACCAAAAATGTGAAAATTAAAATCAATGTGGCTAAAAGGGTCATGTAAAATATATGAGAAATTCTAGACTCACTCCAGCCATCTGAAAGCAAAGGCAGAATACTGTAAAAGACATGGAGTTGGAGACGTGTTCAACACCATGAGTGTGAAACTGGGCAACAGGGAAGCTATTATTCAGATTTCCAGATTGCCCTACGTTTCTATCAGAGGGTGTTCCTGTGGTAAAGCAGTGACTGAAGACGGTGGTGAGGGGTCCAGGCCAGTGCTCTCTAATACAAGTATAGTGCGAGCCAAGGATTTAGTGTTTCTAAGAAGCCACGTTTTAAAAAGTAACAGGTGATATATTTATTTTATTTAACCCAGTGTATCCAAAATATTATCATTTTAACAAGTGGTTGAGGTAAAAGTCATAAATGTGACATTTAACGTATTTTTTGGTACTCAGTCTCCACAACCTGGTATACTTTCCGCTTACAGCACGTACCAACTTGGACTTGCCGCACCGTACGAGCTCAGGAGCCACAAGTGCCTACCTGTTTGGGGCAGCAGAAACCTAAACAGTGGGGTCTCGCTTGTCCAGTTCTGTTCCTCTGTTTACTTTCCCAAAGCTTCCCAGATGAAGTGGATCACTTTCCTGCCCTCAGTTCTTAAATGATCCAACCGCAAGACAGTTCCTGTAGGAAGGTGTAAATCCTGAAGCCTTTAGTTTGTGCGATGACACGGTCTTTAGAAACAGCAGACTTCGGGCAGACTGTCAAGAAACAAGCCCTTGGCAAGCGGTCTTGGCCTCTGAAGGGGAAGGAGGGCCGTGGCTGGGTCGTTTGTGGCAGATGAGGGCCGGGGGGGATTTGTGGAGGGTCTTAGGCCCGTGGGAGCCAGTGGGGGCTGGGGGAGAGTTTGTGAGCAGCTGGTAGACGGGAGAGAGAACATCAGGGAGTCTGGGGACAAAAGTCGATGGGCAGAGAGGCTGGCCTCACCTTCTCTCTTGCCCGCGTGTGAGCGCGAACGAGAGCTCTGTGGGGTGGTGAGTTGGGTCGCACGTCACCAGCTGCTCACACAGGCCGTGGTCTCGTTCCGTGTGACCCGCTCATCTCCCTTGTATTCCTTCCAGTCCCCGCAAAGCAGCCATTTAATGTAGCTAACGTACCTCTCAGGATGCTCGCCCTTAAAGTGTGTGTGTGTGTGTTTTAAACTTACACAGATGTACTCCGCCCACTTTCTGCCCTTCTCCCTGCCTTCTCTCACTCATGCTGTCTTCTGACTTTCTCCCCTTTGATGCATTTTCCCCGGGTCTCGCTTGGCCCTTCTTGAGTGCCTGGTGCGTGCCAGGTAGGGTGCTGGGTGCGTCACAGGCACTGTTCCCTTAAAGTCTCATGGTGAGCCTGCGAGGATGGTGGCGTTTTCCTCATTTTGTGCAGGAACCAACTCAGAGCAGTTGGGGAACCTGCCCACCATCACGCAGCCAAGCAGTCTGGACTCACACTTCCGTGTTTTGATTCCAAAATCCACACTCTTTCTGTTACTCCTAAACCCTTCTTATGCTTTAGAAAAAAATGTACACATCCCTCTCTTAATGAAGAAATGATACCAATTACTTTGGCTCTCTCTTGGGATGCAGGTAGTCTAGCTGTTTGCAGATTTGGTGATGACACCGGCTAACATGCGCTCGGGGCTTATGGGAGGCAGTGGAGAGCAGTGGTTAGGTTCCCAGCTCCGCCCCGAAGCCCCTCCGTATCTGTGGACTTTGGGCAGGCTGTCAGCCCCTGCCGGGGGGAGAAGCCAGATTCTCTGTGCCGGAACGAGTGGATGGTAAGAAACAGGTTGCGTGCTTCCCACGCATTCATTCGTTTGGCAAATATTCGAAGGGCCTGCCGT